TAGGGGTATCTGGTATTGACCACTGTCGGCAGACAGGATACTGGGCTAGATGGATCTTTGGTCTGACCCAGTATGGCCATTCTTATGTTCTTATGTTCAATATTCTTTCACCATTTCCTTGCACTTCCTCGACAGTCTGTGTGTATCCATCTGTTGTTTCTTGTCTTATTCTTACATTGTAAGTTCTTGGCAACTGGGACTGCCTTTTTGTTCTGTTTGTACAGAGCCTAGCACAGTGGCACTAGGATTATACCAATATTAAAAATAATAACGAGGCTGATGGACTCAGGAAAGCTACCTAGATCCCCCTACATCAGACTGTCCATCTCACAAAGTGTTCCCATGGCCTGCCCTTCTCCTCCCGAATGTGCTAGGGCTCCACATTTAATGATCTTTGGGGCACAGAGCCAGGCCAATCTATTTATAAAATCTTGGCTTTTTTGAGTGTTGGGAGAGGAGGTAACTCATGTTCAAATTATGGGCTGGGGATGGTGCTTCTGATTCCTTTTATATCACGCTGGTGTTGGTGATTAATCTCTAGAGATTGTCTGCCTGCCCACCAGTTCCCTACAGTTTGTTACTGGGTTATTTGTAAATGAATTCCAAAGGCAGCATATGGGGCCGGTGAAGCAATATGACAGCTTATCATTAAAAACTAATTATAATAAAATAAGTCATGAGCCAAAAGCTCAGATTCCTACCCTGGCTCCAGATCTGAATTTTTCAGTGCAGGCCCATGTGTCTTAAGGTTTTTTGTTCCTTCTGGAAAGATGAAGTAATTGATTACATCAGCAGGGGGAGCTCTTGCTATAATCAAATGAAAAAAACCTGGACAGTAGTAACAGGCAGTTAGGTGGAAAATGCTGGAGCCCAGTAAGTAGGGCTGTTATTTCATAATGAAAGTGATGTAATCCTCAGAGATAATACAATGAATTTTATTTTATTTAGAGCATCGATAAGGTAAATAAAGATAAATTTGCAACCAGTTTTAAGAAAGCTGCTGACTAGCAACTTTGCCTGCATCAGATTTTGGGTTAAAAAATGTTTAGATCGCATTCTGAAAGAAGGGCACTGATGCCACAGATAACGGAGGCCAGAACAGATCTTTCTATATAGGAAAATGTAGGTGAGGATAAAACTGAAATATGATAACCACCGTAAAATATACAGTTTTACAAAATAGCATGGCTGATGGTAGAGCCATAATTTTACAGTCCTGACTTTAATAATGCCCTTCTGGTGGTATACTCTAAAAGTTAAATCAATGAGAGACACAATTCTAACTGGTATAGCCAAAATGTAAGGTAAAGGCACTTCACTATTTCTGATCACTTGTTTTATAGTAAGACAATAAACGGCACATTTTAGAATTGCTTTCTGGGAGGAGTCTACCTGAACCAAAAGAGTCCTATCAAGGTATTTCACCCTTCCTGATGTAGGAAGATGAAGGCCTAAAACATAAGCCCATGTAACACAGGCCTGGTGTGAGGCCTAGCTAACAATGGACAAAACATGGCTGACATAAAGCAAAGCTAAACTGTGAGTGGGAGGCAGGCCCACACAACTTGTCATGAACAGGGCTGAGAGAGCAAAACATTAATTGGTAATAGGCCTAGGTGTAGAACAGTAATTGGTACTGGTCATAAGTTGAAAGCACATGGTACCACTAGCTCATTAAAAAAAGACCTTAGTGCACACTTCCCACAGATACAGATCCAGGTTCAGGAAAGGGTCTAAAATGACAGCATGATGGATAGAGATGATCTAATTAAACCATGAGGTACAGATGGGTGGTATCTAAGTAGCATCAATGAGTGGTAACCTGACATGTCAGAAGTGATGTGTAAGTTGATAGTACCTGTATATAAAGTGGTGTCTAAGGGGACAGTCTTTGGATGACTTACAGGGCAATGGAAATTTTCCATTGATTGAGTCATTCCATTGTTACAGAGTACATATGCGTAGTGGTTCAATAGAGTCTACTGACAACTATTACTACACATGGCTTTACAATAAACCTGGCTGGGAACTTTCGATTCTTATCTGATTTGTGGTCTTTCAGGTCTGCAGTGGAGATTGAGTGCACAAATTGACATGGAACCCATCACTGAGCACACACACAAGCAGCCTTCTGGTTATCATCATCAACAGAGCCAGAGACCTGTGAAGAGTAAATCCTGACCTCTCCTGACGAATAGCACCTGGGATGGAAAATCCAAATCCTCCCAGCTCTCATGGTAGATTATTGCATAGCAAGCTCTCTCCTTCCACAGTTTATTTACCTAAGATGGAAGTCTCACTTAAGAGTCCATTTAGGCATTTAAAAAGGTAGTTGGTTGGAAGGATGCAGGTGATTTGAGGGAGTCTGGAGGTGTAGAACTGGTTGAAAAAGGATCTAGAATGGCAGGATGGAAATAGGATAGAGACTGATATAGAGAGAGGAGTAGGAAGTGGTGGGATAACAATAGATGGGAGGCTGGGACAGAACTTGGTGGATTGGGAAATAGGTGTTGAACGAACTCTAGAAACCATACAAATATAGAAAATAAAAATAGAAGAAGGGAAAGCTGATAGTAATGAATGTGAAAAAGAATCTTGAGATTGTAGAAAATTGATAATGGAAGCAAAGGGACATAAGGAGAAATCTATGGCCAGGAGAGTTAGAGGGAGTTTTGAAGGGATATTGAGGACATAATAATAGTTTTGATCATTTACTAGAAGTCACTAGCAGAATTATCTATAATAATGCAGAAAAGGCAGAAATGTTCAAAATATTTTATTTCTGTATTTGGGAAAAAGTAAGAGGATATGGTCATGTCCTAGGATATAATCATTTCCATTTCACTAGTATTTCCAGAGGATGTTAAACAGCAGCTGCTGAAGTTAAACATTTTTAATCAGCCGGTCTGGATAACTTGCATGCAAGCATTTTAAGAGCTCACTGAGGAGCTCAATTGACTGTTCCTGTAGATTTTCAATAAATCTTGGAACACTGGGGAAGCTCCAGAAGCCTGGAAGAAAGCTAGTGTTGTGCCAATATTTAAAAAAGGGTAAATGGGATGACCTGGGTAATTATAGGCCTGTCAGTCTGGTATTGATCCCAAGCAAAATAATGGAGTGGCTATTATGGGACTCAATTAATAAAGAATTTAAAGAAGGTAATTTAATTAATACCAATCAAGAGAACTTTAGGGAAAATAGATCTTGTCGAACTAACTCGATATCTTATTTTGATGTGGTTAGAAGTTTGGCTGATAAAGATAATAGCGGTGATGTAATATACCTTGACTTCTGTATGACATTTGACTTGGCACTGCAGACATTCCGATTAAAAACCTAGAAGTATATAAAATTAACTAGGCACACATTAAATTGATTAAATGTGACTGTAAATGGGGAATCACCCAAGTGGGTGTGTTTCAAGGGGGTGATCTCATAGGGATCTGTTCTTGGCACTGGGCTAATTAACATTTTTATTAATGACTTGCCAGAAAATCGTCATTGAGAAAGTTTGCAGAAGACTCAAAAGTTGAGAAAGGTGGTAAATAATGAAGAGGACAGGGCACAGATGGAGAGTGATCTGAATTGCATGGTAAGCTGGGTACAAGAAAATATGTATTTTAATACAGTTAAATAAATATATGCCTCTAGGATCACAGATGATAGTCTTATGTACAAGTTGTAGGACTATACACACTGTGGCTAGGAACAAGATTTGGGGGTTGTGGTAGATGTCATAGTGGGTCATCAGATGCAAACCTAAGGTGCAGTGTCCAAAAAGGTAGATGCAGTCCTTGGATATCCAAACATGGGAAATTTAAGTAGGAGGAAAGAGTTTATTTTACCCCCGTATCTGGCAGTGGTGTGACCGCTGCTGGAAAACTATATCCAGTTGTGGTATCCACAGTTCAAGAAGGATATTGATAAAATGTTTTTTTGAATAACATGACCATCCCCGAAATAACAGTTTCCCCAGCTGGCCTGTCGCCGGCGGTTGTGCAGGGCTTTCCCCGCCTCCCTGCAAAGCAGCGGAGGGTTCGCCACTCGCTGCGCCTTTCCCCGGCGACCCTCCTTCCCGCTGGACACCTCGCTCCCTCTCCTCCACCCCCACTTGCAGGCCGGTGGCTGGGTTTCCCCACCTGGTCTGTCACCGGTGGCTACATGGGGCTCCCTCTCCCCCTGCAAAGCAGCGGAGGGTTCGCTGTTCACCATGCCATTCCCTGGCGACCCTCCCTCGCCGGACACAGTGCAGGTCCCGTCAGTCCCGTCACAGGGACATACTGTACTCCCAACCCAATCCCCCTCTCCTCTCCTCCCCTCCCCTTTCCTTCCCCAGAGCCAAACACTTCCCCTCCCTGCTGTAACCCAGTCCCTTTTCTCCCCTAACCTTATGTCCCGGTCCCGGCTGCTAACAAATGCAGGCTGGATCCACGAGCGCACGTGCGGCTCTCAGCAGTCCTGCTGAGAGAGCGGTTGACAGGAGCACTTCTGAGTTCCAGCTGATGCCCTATTGGGAGTTTTACTGTACTGTACTGTACGCATGAGCAGATGAATACACTGTGCACGTGGTCACAGCGCTCCTCCTCTCACTCACATGTTTATCTTGAGTTAACAAACCACGACGTCTTGTACTGAATTGTTAGATACTGTACTGTATCTTGCTGTGTGTTACTGTATCCCTTATCATGAGTGGAAAGTGTAAGGAAAATGATACGTCTGCTTCTGCAAGCAAGAAGCATAGAAAATCATTTACATTAGAAGAGAAACTTGAAGTGATTAAGTGAATTGAAAAAGGTGAACGCAATTGTGATATCTCCTGCGCTTTCAATATACACAAGTCTAGTGTGCACACAATCCATGCCCAAGCTGAGAAAATTAAGGAAAGTTGCAAAAATGCAACACCAGTAAGTGTGAAGAAGGTTGTTCGTACACGATCTAACCTAATGGAAAATATGGAGAGGCGATTGTCTATGTGGATTGAAGACCAAACACAATGAAAGATGCCAGTGAATTTGGCTGTTATTCAGGAAAAAGCCAAAGCTTTATATGATTCTGTTAAAAGAGAATTGAATGAAACTGATGCAAAGCCATTTAATGCAAGTCATGGTTGGTTCGAACACTTTAAAAAGTGTTCAAACTTACATAATATAAAAATAACTGGAGAAGCTGCTGCTGACATGGAGGCTGCTGAATCATTCCCAGCGATATTTGAAGCTACTATAAAGGAAGGTGGCTCTTCGTCTAACCTGGACGAAGCAGGACTCTTCTGGAAGTGCATGCCAGCACGCACATATATCTCTCATGATGAGGCTTATGCACCTGGTTTTAAGGCTACAAAGGATCGTATCACTGTGATGCTATGCACCAATGCCAACGGGGATTGCAAGCTCAAACCGGTAGTAGTTTACCATTCTGCTGACCCTAGAGCTTTAGCTGGGTATTCAAAGGATCATCTTCCTGTTGTTTGGAGATCTAATGTGAAAGCATGGGTAACTGCAAGCATCTTCAAAGACTACTTCTGCAAACGCCTAACTATTGAGTTGAAAGACTACTGTTTGCAAGAAAATCTTGCTTTCAAAATTTTACTTCTTCTAGATAATTCACCAGGGCATCCTTCTTGCCTTACTGATCTGTCAGAAAATATTTGTGTGTTATTTTTACTCCCCAATACAACCTCATTAATTCAACCTCTTGATCAAGGAGCGATAGCTGCTTTCAAGGCGTATTACTTGCGCCGTACGTTTGCTAGGCTTATAAGGGAGACAGATAGCGAGAATAAGCCTACAATCAAGGAATTCTGGAGAAAATGTAACATTAAAGATGCTATAGATATTATAGTAGAGGCTTGGGCAGAAGTTTCATCAAGTTGCCTTAATGCAGTCTGGCACCGTATATGGCCTGCATGTGTTCATGAGTTTAGGGAGTTTGACACTGAAATATCTGAAGCTAAAATGCAGATTGTAGCCCTAGCCCATGAAGCAGGATTAGAGGAGGCGGATGCTACTGATGTGCAAGAATTGCTTGACTCTCATGGGGAGGAGTTGTCTATCGACGAGTTGAAGCTTCTGGATGAGCAGCGGCTGGAAAATGAGCCTGAACATGCTGAGCCAGTTATTCAAACATTATCAATGAAAGTTATGGCTGAAGCTTATAAGTGATGCAGTAAACATTTTTTATGAGAACGATTCTGATCGCGTACAGAGCTCAAAAGTAGCGAAAAGCTTAGAAAGCGCTATATCTTGCTACCAGCAACTTTACAATGAAAAACAAAAAGCAGCAAAGCAGCTCTCTATCAAAAGTTGTTTTCATGTTCAACCTAAAAAAAGATCATCTGATGAACAAGATAGCCCTGTTTCATCTACATCCTCTAATGTTGATGTTGACGACTCAGCACCAATAGAAAATTGACTTCGACACCACTGCTTGAAATGCAACCCCTACCTTTTCCATTATTTTCAATGGGAAAATTGACCCCGCATAACACGTTTTCACTTAACACGATCATTTTCTAAAACATATCTATCGTGTTAAATGAGGAATTACTGTACTCAAAGAACTCAATCTATTCAGCTTAGCAATGAGGAGGTTAAGGAATGACTTTATGATAGTCTACAAATACCGGCACGAGCACAAATATGTAATAATGGGCTCTTTATGCTAGCAGAGAAAGTTATAACACAATCCAATGGCTGGGAGTTGAAGCTAGACAAATTCAGACTGGAAATAATATGTACATTTTTAATGGTGAGTGTAATTAAGCATTGGAACAATGTATTAGAGGGTGTGGTGGTTTTTCCATCAATGAACATTTTTAAATAAAAATAGGATGTTTTTTAAAAGATCTATTCTGAGAATTATTCCAGAGAAGTTCTATGGCCTATGATATGGAGGTCAGATTAGATGACCAAAATGGGCCTGTCTGGCCTTGGAATCGATGAAATCTGTGAACTTGTTTTTGGTGGGTAGCAGGGTCTAGGAAGAAGGAAGCAGGGGGTAGGAGGGAGGACAAGGTAGAGTGGAAGCCCAAGAGGTATAGCTAGGGAGCTGTTAGGGGAAACTGTTTAAAAAGAGGTGCAGGCCATGTGAGGGCCAGATAGACACAGTGAAGAGGGTAGAGAGGAAACCAAGAAGCAGCTAGTTGAGTGCCTGCCATCAAAGGGTTGCAGTGTGGATTGAGGGGACTATTACAACCACAATGTGAATGAGTTTGCAGCTTGACACTACAGAGGCACCCTGGAATGAGGGAGTTTATTACTAAGCCTCCTTCACAGCTATTCGTGCCCTTCACAGGTATGAGCATGCTGTACAATTTTAGCAATAACCCAGACAACAGACATTGTAAAATCAAAAGAAAGAGGAAAGAAAATTGTTTTTTCTATTTGGCAGTACAAGAGGACTCTTAGGTGTGAATGTCAACATCTTTTCCCTAAAGCATTTATTGGCTGTCAGTCAGGGGCATGCCAACATATTCAGGTCAACAAATGGAACTGACTAACTACAATTGAACCAATCTTAGGTGTTAATGTCACTTGCCAGCATCAGCCCTGAATGGGTTGGAATGCTGGGCAGATAGTGTGAACTGCTCTCAGTGTTAGAAATCTCAAGTTAACATGGAAGAGTCACACTGAATGGTGTTAACAAATCTGCCATTGTCCTAATGCTTGACAATGGGGAGAAGTATTGAGTTGAGCAGGGGATGAGGAAAAATTCTGTGTTAATTAAAAAATGCATGGATGAAATTTGATATGAGGATGGAGAAGTTAGATGGATGGAGGAAAAAGGTTGGAGGATGGAGACTTCAGTCATATCGTCAGTGTGATAGTGGTGTATTGAAAATTAAGTAAAGACGTCCAATTCATTTCTGAAAAAAATTAGCATAATTAAATAATATGTTCCAAGAAATATGCCTCCAAACTTTGCTGAAAAATATCCATCCAGAGGGGATGTGGATGGTTATTATAACCAGTGAGAGTTGGTTCTAAAATGCCAAAATTTCTGAAGTTCATCTGTCACAAGGACTACATTGAGGATAGTTTTCTACACTCTGAGAACTTGGCAAAGCTCTTATTGACTTCAGAGGTAAAGGATCAGGTCCTGATTGGTTACATGCTCCCTGTAGCAAGAAAAACTATTTCTTGTTATATGTGTGGTGTTGTTTTCCATGCTGGTTTACAGTGGATTGTTATTTTGTTAATGATTGTGGCCAATCTTTCATTTAATCAGTGGCTCAATTGATTTTAAATATAGTACCCAGGAACCTTATGTGTGCAAGGTGTTTTTAACGACTTCCTTTGACCTGACTCCTACAAAATATATTAGGTTTCCTTCTGACCTAGTCCCAGCGTTAACAAACATAATAAACTATTAATTAACCACTAAATGTGATTTATCTTCCTTTGGATTTAATGTTACTCAGTAGCTCAGGAACCATCCCCTGACTCCAGATTACCTGTCTCCCTGAATTAAATTCTATGAAATAAATGGTTAGTACTTAGATCACTAAGTGTGTTTAATGGTTCTCCTTTTTTACCCAGATTTAAGTCTAAGATTTAAGAGTGCATATAACACCCTGAACCAGGTCTATCAAGAGCAATTAGTCACTTGACAGATAACTCCAGTTTCAGATCTCTGGATTTTATGGGCTTTTTTTGATGACTAGCAAATAAAGCAGATTCTAGTTAGACTGCACAGATGTAATAAGGCAGTACAAGTAAGTCAGTTTTAGATGAAGGAAAAATTGTTTAAAAGTGGCTGCTGTTACCTCATTTTCTTCCTTTAATTTTTCCTTGTTTAATTGATCATTAGAATTATTATTACAGCCTGTAATCAAAAGTCAGTTGCTTGGTGAACTCATGAGATGTGATCAGGGGTACCAAACAGGAACATTTCAGAAAGGGCATGTGTGAGATGTTACTTCTAGGTATAATTTACAGTTGATATCATGCTGACAAATGATGGAACTGTGGCTTTGAACTGCAAGGAATATGTCCTCTTTTCTTTCCTGCTTGAAGCCAGAAGGGACTTCCTGTGTATGAAGGATAAGTTGGTGGCTGCGATGAAATAATTGCCTGCTGTGTAGACATGGACTGTTATTTCAGAATAGTGCTAGTTATTTCAAAATAGTGTTGCAGTGTAGACATACCCAGAGAGAGACCAAATCAGGCTACTTCATAAACACAAGAATTCAAGGTGTCATTTTTACCCATCCTTGTCTGCTTCCAGATGTGTATCTTCTGACCACCAGATATAAGTGGACCAGGTGGGAATGCTCTAAGATACACGTTTCCAGTGGATACCAATTCCCCAGCATAGAACCATATAAGTTCTCTCTCAGCATTTGGCTGGTCAATGTAATAGCGGGGTGTATGGGACGCATCTGTGGATGCTCATTGGCTTAACTTTTAAAAAAATCAAGATTGTCCACAAAGGGTATGTCTGCACTGCAACACTATTTCAAAATAACTAGAGCTATTCCAAAAGAACATAGTCTGTGATTACACAGCAGGCAGTTATTTCAAAATAGTGTCAAAATACTGTCAAGCTGGAGGACGTCTTACTCCGACTCCTGTAATCCTCATTGTATGAGGAGTAAGGGAAGTCGGAGGAAGAGTGCTCTATTTCAAAATAAGTGCCATGTAGATGCTCCCTATTTCAAAATAAGCTATTTTGAAATAAGTTATGCAATTGATGTAGCTCAATTTACATAGCTTATTTTGAGTTAAGTCCTGCAGTGTAGACTCACCCAAAAGGATCTTCATCTGTTCAAGGAAGAAAGATGGTCTTTATTGGGGACTATAAAATAAGAAGGATGGAAAAAACATTCTGCAAGGGTCAGGCAGACAACAATATGATGCAGGCCTGCCAATGTGGGGGAGGGCAAAGAGGACAATTGCCCTGGCGCTTAGTGATTCAAAATGGCCTGGGGCTCCAGGCTGCTGTGGCCACGGCCAAAGCCCTGTGTGGCACACTGCAGGCAGCGCAGAGGGCTGCCGGGGGAGGCTAGCTTCAGCTTTGCCCCTTCCACACAAGATCCCGCCACTTCTGGGGTGTGGTGCCATTCCCTGCCTTGCCCAGGGGCCCAGCAAGTCTGTCAACCCCACTGCTATGGTTTGTTGTCTTCTCAGAGTCAAGATACTAGCCATCATTCCAACACTAAATAGGCTTCTGAAGTCAAGGGGCAAAGAGCCACTGCAGATGGTATGGGTCGGTAGTGATGACTATGGCTAGGATTCAGTCGTGTGTATTTGTAGTAAAAGTCAGGGACAGGTTACTGACAATAAACAGAAATTGACCTGTGACCTGTCAATGGCTAATACTTTAAATACCCCTGACTAAATCTTGGGGGACTTTCACTGCTGGGGAACTATTCTGGGGGTCCCTTGTTGGGGATCATTGCTGCGGAGATGTCCAGGATGGGGCACTGCTGGGAGGGGCTGTGGGGTCAGCAGCACCAGCTGTAGGGGATGTCCCAGGGCTGCTCCTGGGAGTCATTGACAGTGGCTGCTCCAGCTGCCCCAGGCTCATTGCTGGGACTTGCTGATAACAGCTGCTGGGGAGCTTTCCAGGCTTGGTTGCTGCTCAGGGCAGTGCTAGCAGTTCCACCCCTGCCTGGCTGCAGAACTGCTCCAGCAGCAGCCTGTGTGGCTGTCCCTAGGCTCACCCAGCCAGGTACATGGGCCACCCTGGCTGAACCATGTTGGCTGCTGTAGAAATCACATATGTTGCAGAAAATCACAGCATCTGTGTCTTCCACAACCTCTGTGATAGAGATGGAGCCCCACTAATGACTCTGTATTGAAGGAAACTTCAAGAACCCAGAAGGGTGCTGAAACAGAGGAATATCCAAATAATCTTGGCATTTCACCTGATCCCACAAGCAATGGAAGACAGACAGAAAGCAGAAGATTCTGGAAGGGAACATCTGGTTAGATCAGTAACATAGATGTTTTTAGCTTTGTGTCTCATTGACTCACTTGTGGAAAGATACAGCTGTACAGTTGGGATGGCTTCTCTTTCCGTAGAAAGGGAATGTGATGCTGTATATAAACCCCTGTACTGGCAGAGACAATTAATGGGAGTTAAAGGTTAATGGGAGCTGGCAAGGACAATTAGCTGATTATGTGCCACCTGGAGGGGAGACAGCTCATTATAGATTAGG